ACGTGACTCTAATCAGGACAGTTTTTATTTGCATTTTCTAAGCAGCTGTAGATAGGTGAAGATGTTAAAGATGTGAAGAGATTACTTTACCTTCTATTGCTGAACAAAAACCATTGACAAGGTTCAGTTATCCAGAAGAGATATTAGATAGTGATTAGATGTGCTGTGTAACTCAACGCTGAAATGCAGCGCAGGAAGATCTTTGATCATTCTCAGTTTTTAAGTATGGAAAAAAGAATGACAATACCGAGAGAATGAGATGGCAGTTCAGGCTTCGCCCTTTCCTGAATCCTGGTCTTAGAAGTCTTTCTAATGAGGGTCAAAATACTATGCATATTGGTATACTGAGATACCAGTTAGGGAGAAGAAAAAGAGCCAAACCAAAACACACACAAATATCACAAGCAAATATTTGTCTGCTTTGATGTGCGTGACCACTGCCAGTACCTCATCCATTTGCAAAAAAATGCCTGTAAAAAAAAAAAACCTCTACCTCTAGATACAGCATTTCCAACAGTAAGCAATGAAAGACTATCAAAAGATAGTATTTTTAAAAAACACCTCAAAGGTTCCACAACACTGCTGATGTTTCTGCTAACCACAAATTCTGCCGCTACTAGTGGCTGAAGCCTTGGTCATTAAACAGCATAAGCAACATCAGCAGCAGATCCACCGATTTCTTATGGTTCAGGTTCCCCCCTCAATTCTGTTTGCACTAATTAAATTCTCCAGAATACAACCTTCCTAGATCCACCACTGGCAGGACAAAGCAGCAGCCAATCTCGATTGCCTGATTCTTAACTGAATCTCATTAGTTCACTAATTTAGACTGCACAAATAATTTTTAGGCTTACTTAGGCCTTGAAAATCTCAAAACTTTCATAGGTAACCAACTTTCTCTAATCAAGCACACTAGCATTCATCAATGGCTACAGGGTTCAGGCATACTCAGATATTGACAATTCTCACTTTCATCCAAACCCAAGCAATTAAATTGCACTGTGAACCCACCTGGCAACCAGACAGAAGTGAGCCTATAAAGTAATCGCTTCTTAGAGGTAAACTGATACTCTTTAGAAAGATCATCGCAACAGAAAAAACTCAGAAAATATTCCACCTTTTTAAAAACATGTTATTTTGTACATTTTCATTAGTCCAACTGAAAGAAGAGTTGAAAAAAGCATTTCATGTGTTTCAGTGTTGCCCAGCTAGAACAATTGTAAAGTTTTCACAGAGGTCAGCATATCTCAAGATTCAATTTGAGATCTTAACAAAAACTTCCATGATAACTTGCTGTATATTTTCGTGTCTCACACTGGCACATGAGCTACACAACTCCTTAATCTGACCTGCTGGTGTAACTGACACTAAAATTCAGTTCTCTTCACTAGGTGTCATATACATTAACTGCATATTTGCCTTACCTCCATTTGTAGGCGACTATTTCACAAGAGTCAGCAGAGCATCTGATGTGAAAACAATCAAGGTGCACAAATTTTACTTTACTTAAGCTTGTTACTAACCTTTCATGACAAAGTATTTATTTAGTATAATGACCGCAATTTCCTATTGACTCAGTCTTTGGCTCAAGTTACTAATGTAAATACAGACTAAATCCACAACAATCAACTGATTTTCTTCTAGTTTTACGGTACTACAGAGAACACATTTATGCTTTTTAGTTATCCCTCATTTCCAGCACCACTGAAACTTACAATGAAAGCTCATTCCTAAGAGCATTTAACTTTATTTTTAAAAAAAAAAAAAAAAGCTTGAATTATATTCCAAAACTTTTAAAAAGAAACTATTTCCCCTGGAAAGAAGGGCTACACTTTTTTACTTCCTCCTACACCATCTATGTCAACTAGCTTCAATCCTAACTGTTGACTGGGGATACACAAACCTTTTGCCAGTGCTTCTTTATATTTCTCCTCTGCAACATTCAGGTTGTTCACGTAGGTGGCATGATGCTTGCTGTGGTGCAGCTGCATGATCTCTGCGTTAATATGAGGTTCCAGAGCGCCATAGTCATATGGCAAGTCAGGAAGTGTGTGCTTCTGCCTAGAGACCAAGCACCCCAATGGTGCTATCAACTTGGCGCCGCTTCTAGAAGAGAAAAAAACAGAAGGCAGTAGTCTTACTCAGTACTTGGGGGTTGGACTAGATGACCTCTAGGGGTCCCTTCCAACCCAAAACGTTCTATGATTCTATGATACTTAGGCTTTACCACTGAAACCATGTCTGTTATGATCAGCTGCTGTAAGTATATAAAGTGATACCTTAGATAAAGAAGTCAAATTTCCATTTTTCTGGAGCTCAAAGCAAGCACACTCTCTGTAGCTTAATTGCAGAGATGAATTCACGTAAGGGTCACAGATCTAGGGCTTCACAGTGTAAAGCTGCCACTTCTCGAATCAACCCCCCACCCCGGGCCACTGCAAAGAGTCGCACGCCCTCCCATGCATGCAGGGAGTGGAAGGGAAAGCCAGCAGTAACACACTGACATGCAAAGCTTCACCTAAACTTTATTAAGAAGGGAGCCAAGACATCCCTGATAAGCTTCCCTCCCTCGCTATTGCAAAAGGTACCTGCACTAGAAAAATAAAAAGCTTGAAAAACCCACACAGTCATTTGGTTCCCAGGACTGAACCTCTTATAAGGCGTTAATGCCTCCTGTGACACACACGTGCTTCGCTATCCCTATGGCACGTACTGGAAAAACCACAGGCGTGAGGGGAGGGCAGCCGCGACATCCAGCACAGAAACCCATGCAGGGTCTGGTTACCCTTCCCCATTTTAACACTTTACACTTGTCATGAGACACAACAACGACCATGATAAAAGCAGAACCGCTCGGCCGTGAGGAAGGTCAGCTCCCGAGTCCCTTTTACGTTTCGCTGGTGACCTTGGCATAACCCAGGGACAATACAACAGCAAAATCCTCGGGGCCTTAAAGAGAGGCCAAATGTGGCGACCCTGCCTAGCAACAGCGAGGGGATCTGGCAACACCACGTGAAGCAACGAGAGCCCCTCGGCAGAGGCCGAGGGCACAACCTGGGAGGATAAAAGGACAACCGCCAGCAGCCCCCCCGACCGCGCCGCTGCCCAGGCCGGCGCCCAGCGACCTCCCTCCTCCCGAAATGGCGGGGAGCCGCTAAGGGACAAGGAGAAAGCAACCCCAACTCCTCCCCCTCCTACCCATCGCTCGGCCGTGGAGGGCGAAGGCAGCCATGTCGCCCCCTCACGCTGCTGTGCTCTGGCCGCCATTACGCTCCCCCCCATCCCCGCGGCGCGGCCCTCACCTGCCCCCCGAGGCGAGGCGGCACAACATGGCGGCTACCTCACGGCCGGGCGCTACACCGATAGCGCAACTGCGTCTTTGCCCGCCCTCGGCTGCCGAGGAGAACTAGCCCAGGAGGAGCCTTTACCAAGCAGAAATTTGCCTGCCGGGAACCCGTTGTACGGCTCTTGGGCACCAGAGGGGATAGAGCAGCACAAGACAGGAGTAGTAAGCTCTGAAAAGCCTGGCAAAGAAATGTTTTCTGTCAGTTGAACTGACAGGCCCAGCAGCGCTTCCAAATACCTTTGCAGCTATTTTGTCTACGACTTACTCTTTTTGGTTAGCTTCTGTTCCTCGTTTTTGTGCGCATCTTATTTCCCAACATGCAGTTTTCCTCCTGGTAGCAATTCAACAGCCTTTAGCGCTGATGAAAATCCTTCATTTGGGTACCTTAACCCTATCGGCTAAAGTAAATCGGTATAGTTAGCGCAAATGAGTTCAAAGAGCCATTAAAAATTGGTTCTCCAGAAAGTTCGGTGAGAACCCTTCCCCTGAGAGTTAGGAGGCACTCTGCAGACAAGACAAACACTAGGTAAAATTTTAATTGCATGGAAGTCATCTCTGTTACCATAAAACCCTCAATCTCTTGGGTTTTGTCTCCAAATATGTATATTCTAAGATCTTACAGAACCCACATTTAACAGACTATAAAAAACACATTACAAAAATTCAGTGGGGGTTAGGTCTGAACAAGTGTCTTGAAAATAAATTACCTTATCTCAGGAAATTGCCAGGAAATCCACCTGGAGAGACCCACGGAGGGAATCTCTGCCAACTGCAAGGCACAGTACAGCAGCGCATGTCTCTCCCCTGCTTCTTGCGGGCCCCTAGAAAACCACGTTAACTCACTTTCCCCTACCAACCAGCGGTACTCTCTGGAAATCTGAGCAGTGGAAGCACCTGCTTTATCAACAGATACTATAAAAGGTGAACTGCCAGAAATCAACAGGTTTGGAAACAAGATTTTCCCAAATGCTGAAAATCTATACAGCAAGATCTAGGCAGTACCTAATTAAAGAAGAGTAGGTTGTATTTATCAGTGATCAATGAAATGTCATCTTTTGTTAAAATGAACCCTTCTTAAAATGAACCAACTACATTCTGGATTATTAAATGTCATAATACAGGCATTAACAGCCAGGCAAGAACATGAATATTACTGGGTTTACCATTTCTCTATTATACTGCAACTCACTAATGCTTTGCAGTAACTGTGTTCCAAGAAAACAAGTTAATTATACAATGCATTTTGTTATGAACCATGCAGTTGCTGGGTTGCCTTCATTGGGGGGGGGGGGCGGGGCAGGGTCTGCGTACATGAC